ATCAGCATCTAGTTGGTATTTAAATCCATGGAACCCTATAAATTTAGCTGGGCATTGGTGGAGAAAACCGTAATTTGAAAATATTCATGCACCCCAAAGTCCATAGCAGCTCTTCCAGCCAAGACATGGAAGAAACCTAAATGTCCATCAACAGAGGAACAGACAAGGAAGATGCGGTAGATATACACAGTGGAGTATTACTCAACAGTAACAAGAATGAAATAATGCCATTTGTAGCAACATGCATGGCCTTAGAGAGGACCACACTCGGTGAAGTAAGTCAGAGAGAGACAAATGTCATATGGTATCAATTGTATCTGGGTTTTTTTAAAAAAATGATGCAAATGAACTTAATTACAAAGCTGAAATAGACCCACAGACAAAGAAAAAAAGAAAATCATGGATACCACAAGGGGAAAAGGGAGGGAGGGATGAATTAGGACTTTGGGACTAACAAATACATACTGTTATGTATACAACAGATAATGAAGAAGGGTCTACTGTATAGCACAAGGAACTGTACTTAATATCTTATAATAGTCTATAAGGGAAAAGAACCTGAAAAATACTATATATGTATACACACATATATGTAAATGTACAAATATCTATGTCTATATTTTACACATACACACACACACACACACACACACACATATATATATATAACTGGGTCACTTTGCTATACACCTGAAACACAACATTATAAATCAACTAAACTTCAATAAAAGTTTAAAAAAGAAATAAAGTAGGAGTCCTGAGATAGAACCCTGAGAATGGTAGAGGGGCAGGTAATACAAGAGAGGAAGCTGGATTTCTAAAAATGGAAATAGTTCATTGAACCAAATACTACCGAGACATGAGTGCAGTGAGAAAACTGACCGTTGGATCTTAGCTACAAGGAGGTCACTGATGGTATTAACTGAAAGAGTTTCTGTAGGGCAATCTGCATGAGTCTCCCCAGAAAAACAGAACCAGTAGATTGTGTATATTGAAAGATTCATTGCAAGGAACTGATTTATGTGATTGTGGCAGCTGGTGAGGCAAGTCTGAAATTCATCTGTAAAAACATGCTGTCAGTAGGGGCAGGCTGGACACCTTCTGCCAGGAGCTGCAATTGAAGTGCACGGACAGGAATTTTTCTTCCTCCACGGAAAAATTCAGTTCTGTCTTAAAACTTCTCAACTGACTGAATCAGGCACATAGATTGTCAAGTATAGCTCCTCTACTTAGCAAATGATGCCAATGTTAAACTCATCACAGCAACACCTGGATTGGTGTCTAGTTGAATCACTGTGGCCTGAAACCTACCAAGCTGACACATGAAACTGACCACCATGTGCCTCGAGATGGACCAAAAACAGTTGCAGTGGAATCGGTAACTAAAGACAAGCTTTTGGGAGAAGATATTTTGCCCAGAGTGTGGGAGAGGAGAAGGGCAGATAGATAAATAGAGCCATTTGGCTTCCGTAGTTGTTTTGTTTTATGACTTATGCAGCAAAGTTTTATAAGAATGAACCAGTAAAAACAAACCAAAAAAAGGGATAAGATGATGTTGAAAGGGAATTTTGATCCAGAGGACATGCTGAGATTTTGGTTTTATAGACTAACTGCGAGTCAGATGTGTGTTCTTTTTTTCCCAAAGGATAAAGCACCAAAGCCCCAGGACTAGTGATGGAAGATTACAGAGAGCCATCTGGAGGGCCATCCCAGACAAGGGCATTCTCCGTCCAAAAGCTGCCTAAGTGGGTGCAGCTTCCCACCACTCACACCATGTGCCTGAAGGTAATTTTTCTCCTTACAGCAGGGATCCCCAGCCTCCAGCCCACGGACCTGTGCCTCCTGTCAGATCAGTAGCAGCATGAGATTAGACAAAAAGCACACAAAAGTGCTGTGTGATGGAGGGAACTTAAAGCCAGAACTCTGTGGCAATCTAGAGGGGTTGGAAGGAAGCTTAGAGGGAGGGGACATGTGTATGTCTGTGGCTGATTCCCGTTGACATTTGGCAGAAGCCATACAACATTGTGAAGTAATTATCCTTCAATTAAAAATAAAATTTAATAAAATTCGGATCAATATTTGAAAAAAAAGTAATCCACTTGAATCATCTCAAAACCTTCCCCCGAGCTCTGGTCTGTGGATAAATTGTCTTCCACAAAACTGGTCCTTAGTGCTAACAAGATTGGAGACCACTGCCTCAGAGAATGTACTTACTAGATGCGAGCTTTCCTGGAGAAGATTCCTTGGAAAGGAATCTTGGTAGCATGAGACTGCCTCAGTCAGGAGCTCTTTTCTTGGTCAAGATCTGGGCTTTAGCCAAGCTGAGAACCTTACTGTGGACACTTTTCTTTTCTTTCTTTTCATTTATTTTATTGGAGGCTAATTACTTTACAATATTGTAGTGGTTTTGCCATGCATTGACATGAATCAGGCATGGATGTACATATATTCCCCATCCTGAACGCCCTCCCACCTCCCTCCCCATCCCATCCCTCTGGGTCATCCCAGTGCACCAGCCCTGAGCACTTGTCTCATGCATCAAACCTGGACTGGCGATCTGTTTCACATATGATAATATACATGTTTTAGTGCTATCCTCTCAAATCCTCCCACCCTCGCCCTCTCCCACAGAGTCCAAAAGTCTGTTCTTTACATCTGTGTCTCTTTTGCTGTCCGCATATAGGGTCATCCTTACCATCTTTCTAAATTCCATATATATGTGTGAGTATATTGTATTGGTGTTTTTCTTTCTGACTTACTTCACTCTGTATAATAGGTTCCAGTTTCATCCACCTCATTAGAACTGATTCAAATGAATTCTTTTTAATGGCTGAGTAACATTCCATGGTGTATATGTACCACAGCTTTCTTATCCATTTGTCTGCCGATGGACCTCTAGGTTGCCACCATGCCCTGGCTATTGTAAACAGTGCTGCGATGAACATTGGAATACATGTGCCTCTTTCAATTCTGGTTTCCTCGATGCATATGTCCAGCAGTGGGATTGCTGGGTCATATGGCAGTTCTATTTTCAATTTTTTAAGGAACCTTCACATTGTTCTCCATAGTGGCTGTACTAATTTGCATTCCCACCAACAGTGTAAGAGGGTTCCCTTTTCTCCACACCCTCTCCAGCATTTATTGCTTGTAGACTTTTGGATAGCAGCCATTCTGACTGGTGTGAAATGGTACCTCATTGTGGTTTAGATTTGCATTTCTCTGATACTGAGTGATGTTGAGCATCTTTTCATGTGTTTGTTAGCCATCTGCATGTCTTCTTTGGAGAAATGTCTGTTTAGTTCTTCGGCCCATTTTTTGATTAGGTCATTTATTTTCCTGGAATTGAGCTGCAGGAGTTGCTTGAATATTTCTGAGATTAATTCTTTGTCCGTTGTTTCATTTGCTATTATTTTCTCCCATTCTGAAGGTTGTCTTTTCACTTTGCTTATAGTTTCCTTTGTTGGGGCACTTTTCTTAAGAGATGGCTGCCTTGCTGTCATCAGAATCTCAAAGGGGCAATCACCTGAAAAGAACTACACATGGTGCTCAAGGGTCCCTCTGTTGTATAGTCTATTATTTAACTTGATGCTCTGAGCCTTTTTGTGCAAACATGCAGAGCAATGGACATGGAAAATAGGGACAGCTGACAGGACAGAGAAAACAAATGTAGGAGGATGTGTTAAAGAGAAATTGAAATATTGCTGCAAAATAGATGGCTGAAGTAGTAATATAAATATGCTTTTTATTTCAGCATGAATGCTTCATGTTTAACCCAAAATAAGCCTCCTAGTGTAATAGGGAAGAACAAATATGACTCCACATTAGATCTTTTTAAAATGGATTAGAACATTTTTTTTTTTTAACTTTAATCTTTGTATTCTATTGCTCAGAGTTAAGGATTTTGCTGATGGCCTGATATATACAGGAGAGCCCATTCGGGGTTCTGATCTTTTAAGGGTATAACACTTTTCCATTCACATAGAGATACAAAGTTACAGAACATAGAATAATATTTATCTCGTTGGCGATTTACAGGAACATTGTTACCTGCTCTATGTGGACAGCTGTAAGAAGGAAGGATTCTAGGACCAAGAGGTTTTCATCAATTAATTCCCCTCCCTTACCTTGCCTTTTAAAGAGTTTTGCTAAATTCTGGGGAGTTCCAGGTTTTTGGACAGGAGCAACCAGTTCTCTTGCTTGTCCCTGCAATAAATATTTCTCTGTTTCAAACTCTGATGTTTCTGTTTATTTGGCCTCTTTGTGTATTGGGTACACAAACTTGCATTTGGCAATATTAGTTGTAACAACTATTATCAATAGAAGAGGTAACATGTGAATCTGGAATCTGGATGCCCCAAAGATTCTGGATTAGGAAACACCCATGCCCTCACCCTAGATGTCTGTGATTTTTGATGGAAGGGCTGGAGTGCAAGGTAGCTTCTCCTTGGTTTAATGGTTTGTTGGGGCATCTGTTCTAAGCACATTCTTTCTAAAAGTACTTGTTCAAGATAAAGGCAATCTTTTCACAGTTCTAGAGTAATCTAGAGTTCTACCCATGTTTGTGACCTTCCTTATCTGCAAGATGGAGCTCTACTTTTAAATCCAGCCCAAACAATTCAGAAGAATGGAGTGTTTGCATAATTCCAAGAGAGAAACATCCCACACATTACACTGAGTTGGAATGTTTCTTCTCTTTCCCTCCTAGAACAAGGAAGGGAAGAGTTCTGTAATACTTCACCCCACTCCTGGGAAAGGACTAAAATTATTTTAGTACTGCAAAGGTAAGTGATAGCTCAAGAGTTCTTCATTTTGAACGTTTTTTGTTAAACTCAATCATCTCATCTCCAAACTACTTCATCCCTAAATAAACATTCTTACATCTGGGTTGAATTTCACATTTTCAAATATGCATATGTCATTAAACTACAGAAATGACTTTAAGATGATTGAGATTGCATTCTCAGTGTCAACAACCTGATACAGTGTGGATAATGCCACTTTCAAACACACACCAGTGCTAATAATTTGTGTGGGTACTTACTATAGGAGCATCCGTAGACTTCAACTCTCATGCCAATTTTTCCGCTTGGATTCCACTCCAGGGGGACAAAGCGAATGAACCGGGCTCTCACGGAATGAAGTAACTTGTGGTGCATCACACTGTCAGCGTTCACGTTTCCTGCGAACGTCTGTGGGAGAGATGGAAGCCAGTGAGGTCTGTGACAACATGGCAGCACTGTCTCCTGAGCTTAAGGACCATGGATATATATATATATATATATAGTGCTGCTGTACATTATTCTTTAAAAATCTCCTTCCCCAAAATTTTGTAAGTAAGTCAATCCTAGTAAGTCACAGGGCATGAAACACAAAAGCTTTCCTAAGTAAATAACACAATGAAATTCTGGTATTCCTAACACTGGATAATCACTGTGGTATGGAAGATAGCTAAAAAAAAAATCTCTTCATGGAAGAAAAGGATTTTACAGAAGCAATTGTTACCATTAATTGAAGCCAATCACTAAGCAAAGATTTTTCATGATCATTATTACTATTGTATAGATTAAAAAGAAATCTGAAGCCTAGAGAGAGAGAGAAAAGAGGATGAAAACTATCTTCAAATCATCTAATTTTGGTTAGTAATTAGTCTATGATTCAATTTCAAAGTTGTCCTATTCCAAAGCACATGGCTTTTCTACTGCCACTCACTTTTCAACTATTTCACTGGCAATTGTTCCACGAAGGAGAAAAGGAGTGTCTGGTTTTTATGTAATTTATATTCATACTTCCTTGTGAAGTTTGAGCAAAAGAACACACCGCGTGGGAGATACTTGGTACAAACTGAAATCATGCCTCCTAGCCTTCATTTGGATGAATGGTTTCTGGGGCAGAAATTTTCTACAGATGGAATCCAAAGTCTCCTACCTAATCTTTTTTCCCCGCTGGGGTAAAATATGAATAACATAAAATTTGCCATTTTAGCCATTGTAAAGTATATATTTCAGTGGCATAAAGTACAATCACATTATTATGCAACCATCGTCCCATCCATCCCCAGAACTTTCTCGTCATCCTGATTGTACTAATCTCTAAGGTAGGATGTCAGGTAGCACACTGACTAGATCGCTTCATTGTGAATCATCACCAGTCTTCTTTTCCAACTTAAGTATTCATGGGTAAAGCCTTCATGCTAATGTTCTATCAACTCCAACCAAACCATTGGTTTCTCAAATGGCCAAAGAGAATACCAAGTAAAAGGATTTTATGCATGTAATGGGATCCATTTCAATGACTCAAATCTTAACCTTCATTGTATTCTCATAACATCTCTGAAGCTAGGGTAATTTGAACAATCTGACAATTCTGCTGTACACAAAACACCCACTGGCTAGTAACTCTGACATTAGAAATTTACTATAGTCACTATTATACATTACAAAGTGGCTTATGAAGAACAGAGAACCTCACTTTTTACTTTGCAGCAAAACTCTGATAAGAGAAGGATTTGGGAGAGGGGAATTCCTTGAGATTCAAATCTAACTTTCTTCTCCACAGGTTTGTCAAAGATGTGGTCATTGTCTCAACACAGGAAAAAAAACAAAAAACAAAAAACAATGATTCTCTTTAGCAGGCTTATCTTCCACATGTTCTGCTCCGACGTTAGCAACTGATGCAGATAGAAAACCTCTTCGACCTTGGCCCACCTAGGAAAGACTCTTCCCTGCAGAAGGCAGTTCTTTTCAAAATGTATTTCTTTGACACACGAATTTGGGAGTTGGTTAAAGATTCTGGTGGTTTTTCACTCTTGGATGCATTGAACATATTTTCTACAACCAAACTTAGGAGACTTCAGTTCCGTTAATTGTGTTTCCTACAACCCACTCCCCAAACATGCAGAGGATCTGTATTTTCAGCATCCCATATAGAAACTGAATTTTAAACGGACTTTATTCATACTGAGGGTGATGGGGGAATCCTCTCCTATGTTCTAAGTGACTTATAGGCTGAACATATCTTAAGATGGTATTCAGTAAAATAGGAATTAAATTACTTTGGATCTTACCTTGTGGTAAATGCAGGGTTAAAGACTCTTCCAAAATTTAAATTTATTCAAAAAAATAACACTTATAGATGAAACAAGCATGTCCATTAATAAAGCAAAGGAATAAATAAAGATGTAAATAGGGAATGTTGGGCATGGGATCTATAAGGTCAAGGTTTAGGTTTAAGTACATGTTTAGTATGTAATGCTACACAAGTATGGATGTTATCAGATGGATCACATATATATTTATAAATTTATATATATAAAACTGTGTTCTGAAAAAGCATATTGAATATTTATATAATATATGTAAAAATGTAATAGTTACATGTCTAATATGTAATGCTAAGCAACTGTGGAGGTTATCAGATGGATAAACTGGATTATATTGAAATCTTGGTTGTAAAATTCTAGATAAAAGGTTTATTTGGGGAGCTTGGAATCCTCAGGTGCCATGTGTTCTGAAGAGGGAATCCTGGATTCTCATGCCAATGGTCAGCATCGTGGCATCACTGGGTAACACTGGACAATCTATTCTTTCTGACCCTCAGTCCCTTGCAATATTGAGATCTCAACAGCTCAACATTTCAAGGTTTCCTACTATTCTGGAGTCATATTGTTTGCAGTTTCATAGTCCCATGAATACACATCTGAACAGACCTGAGGTAACAAAGTTTTGAGATTTCAAAATGTGCAATGCATGATCCCAGAGCCCTCCTAGATCTAGCAGTGTAAACACTTAAAGATAGAGGCAGATTGAATCTAAAGGAAGCTGCAGCCAAACGCTCACCAAGTTCACCAGTTCATCTTCCTACAAGGTCAAAGACATACATTGCTTGGCAATATAAGAAGTTATAGGCTGGGATGAAAAACAAAGAATCTTATTCTCCAGGTGCTTGGATCCCAAGGCTCTACTAAGATGCTTTAAAAATACCAGTCTCTCAATGCCAGCTCAGTTGCTGAAGATAGCAACTGAACAACAGTGGAATGACAGATGACTTCTCCCAGGAAACAATGGAGACCAACAAATGCTATAAGTGTGAAACGCTCAACCTCACATTCCATATCCAGCAAAAAACAACTCTCAAATCTGAAGGGAAAATAACACAATTTCATTTAAACAAAAGCTGTGACAATGTATTTCCTACAGATCTGCACTGTTAAGAAGTGTAACATAAGTTCTACACTCTAAAGAAACTGATCCAGATGGAACATTCAGTGTACAAGAAGAGATGGAGAATAAGCAAAGTGGTAAATAGGTGGCTAAATATAAGGCTATTTGTATTTCTTTTCTTAAATATTGTAAAAGTCAATACTCAGCTTAAAGGAAAAATAATAATGTTCTGTGATGTCGATTGCAAATGTAGAAGTGAGCATGTGTCAATAAAACCACAAAAGATGGCATGTGGAATGCAGGCTAAAGCGAATTATACTGTTGCAAGGCTGTAAGATGATGTATAAAATGGTATGTCAATCTGAAGTAAATTTAAATAAGCCAAGAATGCATTAAAATAAACCAAAGAGTTATAGTCACAAAGTCAATATCAAAGAAGAAGGAACACTAAAATACGATAACAACAGTGGAAACACCAATGCTCATTGAATGTGAAATGATAAGAAAAGAGAACTGAATAAACACAGAGGAGAAAAAATAAAAGAATTTCAAAATAGTAAACTTAAAACTTTCCCAGTGGATAATTACATTAAAATTAACTCAAGTAAAACCTCAGTTAAAGGCATAAATTGTCAGGCTAGACAAAGAAGTAAGCCTTATTGATACACTTTTTGTATAATACTCTTTTTAAAATAAAGACATTGACAGGTTAAAAGTAAAATGAAGGGAAAAGACATTTCATGCAAATAATAGGCACAATAAACCTGGATTTTCTCTATTAATATCAGACATTGTAAGCTATATTACAAGATAGGAGAGAGTTTCAAAATTACAAAGGGTCAATTCATCATGAAGACAAAAATACCTAAAGGCACCTGCACCTACAACAGAGATTCAAAAATAGTCAGTGAGAATATAAGATTCAACAATATTATCAGAGAACTTGGTTAATTAATGTTCATGGAATACTTCACTGAACGCTGATTACATATTGTTTTCAAATGCGTGTGGAACATTGACTAAGAGACACTATATCCTACTCAATAAGTCCATAGTTTGTTTTCTGACCACAATTAAATTAAATTAGGAATTGATAATAATAAATTATCTAGAAAACTTTCAAATATTTAGATGTTTACAAACACACTTTCAAGTAATCCTTAGGTCAACAAAAGGCCACAATGGAAATTAGAAAACAATGGAAATTGAATAATGATAGAAATACTGTATCAAAACTTGTGCTTCTAATAAAAGCAGTCCTTAGAAGATAATTCATGGCTTTAAAGGTTTTTAAAAGATATAATAAGGAGCTACTCCATGTTCAGTGGAAACAGTGTCAGACTTTATTTTTTTGGGCTCCAAAATCACTGCAGATGGTGATTGCAGTCATGAAATTAAAAGACGCTTACTCCTTGGAAGGAAATTTGTGACCAACCTAGACAGCATATTAAAAAGCAGAGACATTACTTTGCCAACAAAGATCCGTCTAGTCAAGGCTGTGGTTTTTCCAGTGGTCATGTATGGATGTGAGAGTTGGATGCAAAGAAAGCTGAGTGCCGAAGAATTGATGTTTTAGAACTGTGGTGTTGGAGAAGGCTCTTGAGAGTCCCTTGGACTGCAAGGAGATCCAACCAGCCCATCCTAAGGGAAATCAGTCCTGAATATTCATTGGAAGGATTAATGCTGAAGCTGAAACCCCAATAATTTGGCCACCTTATGCGAAGAACTGACTCATTTGAAAGGACCCTGATGCTGGGAGGGATTGGGGGCAGGAGGAGAAGGGGATGACAGAGGATGAGATGGCTGATGACATCACCGACTCTACTCGATGGACATGAGTTTGAGTAAACTCCGGGAGTTGGTGATGGACAGGGAGGCCTGGAGTGCTGCGATTCATGGGGTCACAAAGAGTCAGACACGACTGAGCGACTGAACTGAACTGAACTGAAAAGTTATAATAAGAAAGATATAAAATGTAAAATCTAAGCTCCCACTCTAAGAAGATAGAAAAAGAGTAAATTGAACTCTGA